TATTTCTAGAATTATATCCCTGTTGTTTCCAACTCATTTTATTTAAACATAACTCCAGACTGCTGTAATTTCCAAAAGTCAACATTTGTTGGTAAAAGTTTGGTGTTATAATATTTAAATAGTCGTGTTTACCTAATGAAATCCACAATATGTCTTCCCAACATTTTTACTGTGGTCTAAAAACAGTTTTCTCTTCCTTGCGGCAACAAAGAGAGGCACCAACTTGTATTACCAGCTGCAATTTAACATCACCATCAATTACATTTATATAACCACAGTAAATACATCTATTTTAGCTCTAACACTATTAGTAAAGAAGATCGGAAATAAACAGCATTTTATTCCCTTACTTGAATAGCCCTTTGCCCTTTACATGTATTTATTCTGACATGAAAGGAACTTACAAATTATATTCAGAAAATTCATTTAAAGGTAGGGTAGGTAAGTTTGAGAAACCGGCTCGAGATACGCTTTTTGTTATATTCCATGGAATGCTCTTAACATCCCGATAGCAATGAATATCTTAAGTGCTTTGACAAAAAATCCATAAAAAAAGGTCATCTGTGGAAGCCGTAGTACTGTAAAAAGCACGACCAATCATTTTAGCCGGCCCGGCTAAAGTAACTGGATGGCCTACCTGCCTGTCAGCCTTCCATCTGTGCACAAACTTATCTCGTGCCCTCATTGGTCATGTGCGCGTTCGTGTGTGTTGGAGGAGGGGCTCTATAAGGAAGTGGCAGATTTTCTCCGGTTGTGTATTTTCAAATTCTAGCGCACTCGAGCCGGTTTCTCAAACTTACCTACCCTACCTTTAATAAAAAAGGAATCAGACTTATTACGTCAGACATTTGCTTTTTCGAATGTATTCCATGGACATCCGGTACAGCTCTTTTTTTAGTTTCCTTTACGCAAAAAGGAAAGAAAGTGTTTTAGATTAACCTCTTGCACTTTCACTTTAGCACTTTTACTTTTACTTAAGCACTTTTACTTTACTTTAGCACTTTTACTTTGACTTTAGCATTTTAATCTTACAATTCTTGTGATGCCAAAGAAGAAAAGACATGAGTCAGTTTTCAGCTTCATTTCTTCAAACCCTACAGAGGAAATCCAGGCAGGCTTTCCCAATGCATGACTCAACAAAATCACACTTCAGACATAGCTGAGGCTTTCTCCTTTTCTCTCTCCCTCTCTCTCTCTCAACATTCTCAGTCATTTAGTGTGTATCTAACGGACGTCTACGTCATGTTCTCTTGAAGGCAGGACAGTTAGCCCTGATGAAGCACTTATTTCTGATGACTCCAGGAATGGCTCACTTAGCCGTTTCTCAGAAGCCTTCCTTTGTTGTGTGACATGTCAGTATTGTTCCAGTAATTCGGCCCAAACTGACGCGCTCTCACTCTGCTGTTGTGGTTCTTCTCGGACAGTTTGGGCTGCATTTGCTGCACATGACAAGGGCTGGCCTGTCCAGTGGGGGGCAGTGTATCTTTACCCCCCGCTGAGACAGCAACAACAACCACGAGGAGCACATTTAGAGGACGAGGTTTACCCGCTGCTTTTAAAACGAACGCCCTCTCTTGTACATGGAGGTGTGTGTGTGTGTGTGTGTGCGCTTGGCGTCTGCTGTGTTTTTGATTCTGTTGAGGTTTTGCTCTCCTTTTCATGACCTGCTTTGCCGCTGTGGTTTGGAGTTGTGTTCTGCACTTTAGCATGGTGTGTGTGTGTGTGTGTGTGTGTGTGTGTGGCATGTGTGTGTGTATAATTGTGGTTTAGGTGTTGAAGCTCTGAAATGTCAGGATGAGTTTGAAAAAGCTGCTAATTTTTGCTTTGCATCAAATTTGCTGGGACCCTTTTTTGTCAAATGCGTGAAACACGGTTTAAGTCAGCAACTGGTAAAGTTCCCCCTCACTAAACCACGGCTTTGCTGCTGTTTTGTTAGCATGTGATTTGGTTAGGACAGAGAAGACTCATGTATGGTACAAAGGAAGTGAAGTGAGTCTCTTCCTGGTTGGGGCAGCCCATCACACCAAGTGTGTCGTGGCTGGAGCTTGAGAGTTTGTTGCATGGTTCTGTAGTTTTACTGCTGTTTTCAGAGATGTTTCATAAGGTCTTCTTTATGTTTCCTCACTTTAGCATGGCAGTTTGTAATGGGTTTGTTGGTTTTATACTGTATTAGTTTTGGTTTGGCTTAAAGATTGAATGGTTTGGATGTCTGAAATTCGTCAGGAGATTTACGATGGGTCTTAAAGAGCCATTGTTGAGGTAAAACTTAAGGACTAGTGAACTATCTAAACATTTTGTTATCTTTGATGTAGATTTTAAAACCTTAGAGCAACTAATGATTATTTATCATGAATTATTATCTGTTGATGAATCCATTTAAGGTATAGAAATATAGGATATACAAAAAATACCTTTAACAATTAATATTTTCTTTCAATCTTTTCAAGATCTGAAAGCCCAAAGTTTCCTCTTTGGAAATATTTTCTTGTCTGATTAACAGAAAAACAAAACCAAAGATATGAATTTAATGATATCAAATTGACAAAAACTAAAAGGTCAATATTTGACATGTTTGCTGGATAATTGACCTTTAAGTTTTTCCGATGTAATTGTCTGTTTATCAACTAATCAATAGATTGACTAATACTGTCATCTTCAAAACCCTCCCCCATCATACTGGGATGATACACAGATAATTAAATCTAATGTGTTCTAACGCTCTGCAAAAACTAAATGAACATTGTCTTTAAAATGTTGGAGATCATCTGGACATGGTGTGACATGTTGCTTATTAAACAAGATGGCTGCTTTCGCTGCATTTACGCTCAACCTAATGTTGGTATGATCAAAGTGATCCAAGACGCCGCATTGTGCCACGGCTGCAACAAGTAGCTGGAACCATCTTTGAAATGTTCGATCCCTAGGCCAATTTTAGTCGAATTTGATTTTCTTGTAATACTTTCTTTTACTATTAGCAGCATAGAATAACACTTTTCGTTACGGATTAACATGTAATGTTCATAATAAAACTATTTCCCCACCAAAAAATGCACCAAGTAACAGGACCTTCTCCATATCTCTCTCATAGATTTTCTAGATAAAAAGTTATCCAAGTTACAGGAAGAATTTAATTCCAACTGAAAATGAATTGCAGTACATCCCACCTTATCTTACATGTTTTACTTTCCCTGAAGGAAACAGTTGCAAGGCATCTATATAATAACACACTAAACACATCCCTGTTTGAATCGTAACTTCATTTTGTGGCACAGGTTCCTTTGATCACTCTTGAGCTTCACTGACACTGGTAGAATAAACTGTTCTGAGTTCAACCTCTTTAAATACTTTGTGTCTTGTGACAGGGCGAAAACCAGCGACTGCTAACCACCTCCACCTGCGGCCGTGCACCTGCAGCTCCGGCAGCACAGCCACCTCCGGCAGGGATCTCCAGCTCTCTCAAACCTCTGCGCCCCCCCCCCCCCCTCCACTGCCACAGCTCTCCTCTCTTATCTGTCCAGCCCTGAAACATAAATCAGCCTCTGCACACCTCCCCCTTCCTCCTCCTTAGCAGCATGTCACCCCTCAGCTCTTTCATCCTCTCTAAACTGTTTACAGCAGACACTTCGACATTCTTTGAAGACGGCACATTTAAAAAAAGACAACGAACACACCAGCGCTTTGTCCCCCAGTCACACCTCAACCACCGCCTGCTTTTGGAGTCAGAAACCCTTGGTTTATTTGCTTTAATATTATTATTATTTGCAGCTTCTCCTTCTACTATGCCTCTTTGCATTCATGAAATTAAGACTGATACTAGGGGCTATGCATTGCCAGTTTGGAATGCTGTTCATATGTGTATTTTTAGAAGAAAAACTTTTTTCAGAGGCAAAAATGTTCTATTTTTTATAAGAGATTACTTGAAGTTTTTCACAGTGATGGAGGTTGGCTCAATTTAAAAAGCACTGCCTCCTCCCACATGAGAAATTCAGTGGCATGTGAGATTTCCATGATGTACAGTGTTCTTTAAAAAAAGATGTGTGTAAAAAGACATATTTTTGCTTGTAAAAAGATGAACGACAATGTTACAGATTTGAATCCAGTATAGAAACCTGATTTGATGACTTGTTCTCCTTTTGAAATGAAAATGTCTTAAGTTTCTCTTTCTCTTCGAGTGTAATCCACAAATAAAACTGGTATTATCTAGTTTACATAACAGCTGGCCTTTTGCTCTTTTCTTGTTACCTTTAAAATGATCCCCTTTTTTTACATAACAGCAATATTTTGAGAATAATCTAATAGAAAATGTATGAAATGCTAAGATGTGTCTGTTCAATGAGGCTCAAGCCAGAAAAGCGAGGTAAAATTATTCAAATAAGTAAATTAACACAATTTATTTTGGATTTGATTAGAAAGTGCATTTATTTCCATGGTAACTTATTAAGAAAGTGGTATAAATATTCCCATTTACTGTAATTGTCTCCCAGAGAGGGAATAATTCATTATTCCTGTCAAACTATTGCTTTAGAAATAATTGTAGGACAGAAAATATAAACCGTAAGAACCTTTTTGATGCTAAAAAGTTGTTAATGGTTTATTTATTTGGTTATATTTTAAATGCAATTTTACAGGAAGCAGCATTTTCGAGTCCCTTTCTCAGATGCAAACATTCAGTTTATGGTTTCCTCTCAAAAAATGCTGTCGGGACATTCCTTTCCCCCGGGCAGTCCTACACACAAACCACCAAAAACAATGATGCCGACTGAGAGCAAAACCACAAATTGGACTAAACAGCTCGACAAGATCAAAGTATGATTAAGTGTGTTTCTTTTCACCACAAGTAGTCGTAATTTGTTTGTAGGAAGGGATCAGGTTACAGAGAGGCGGGACTACCAGGAATACAGCATGGCACGTGGCCAACCACTTTCAGAAACACGGGCGGAGGCGGGGTCCGGTGAGAGAAACACAGTCAGTCTTCATCGTTTCACAGAAATCACACAGTGTTCGTGTCACAATAGTTTATTTGAAAATCACATTCAAATGCTGCAAAAACAATGAATTAATATACCAGAAGTGCTCATTTAGGTCAGTTCCTGTACATGACGTAATGTTTATGCACCTAAAAGATTATCATCAAAATAAAAAAGGAAGCTGTTGGCAAGTGCGAGGGCTTTCGTGATGTTTGAAGTACAGACCAGGTAAACTCATTATAAAACACGGATATGAGATCTTGCTGCTTTTCCCAGAAGCTAATTATAAGTTTAAAAGAGTGCTGGAGGGATACCGCTGCCAAAAAGAAGATTCCAGGATTTTGGGATCTTCCATTTGTTGGGCTTCTGGCTCTGAAATGTGAAACCATAATTAGAAAGTTGTTATCTTAAATCCCACATTACAGAATATAGTTAGTTTGAATTACACTAAGCATGTTAGTACTTCTTTTTAGGCTAGTTTCATTTCTCTAAAAGTCTATTTTTTTTAACAAACTATTTATTGGTGGCAGGTTTGTGACTCACAGGGTCGTCCAGCAGGTGAAGCCAGTCGTTGAGGTGGTTGACGAGCGTGAAGGCGTCTGGGATGTTGTCTCCCTCCGAGCAGAAGAGAATCAGCACAGCCAGCGGGACGTCCTCTGCACAGCTGAACCCCCAGAGGAAGAAACATTTAAAACACCCTCGATCAAAACCTGTTACTGGGCTGTTTCAGGGTGCTGAATTTCAACAATATACAGGAGGTAGAGAAAGTGTGTTTTGATATTATCATGATCAAGATAAGAGCTTGAGTTTTTTTATGTTGCAATTTTGCAGAAGGTAAACTTCTTTATAGTCATAATTGAGCAAAAGAACTGAACTTTCATTTAAACTACATATAAAGCATGTAATACAAAAAGTCAATTACGGAATCGGTGTCTTACACCGCTCTCGCTCAGTGTCCGAAAGAGAATTGCTTCTCAACTTATTCTTCTGATTATGGACTATTGTGATGTTGTCTACCAAAATGCACATAAATCAGATCTTGCTCCACTCAACATAGCCTACAATAGACTATGCAGATTTGTTCTTGGTTGTCCTTTTCGTACACATCACTGCACAATGTATAACCAACTTAAATTGCCTTCTTTAAATGTAAGAAGACACAGGCATTGGCTTCAGCTGATATTTAAAATGCATTTATCTTAACTATCCCCCTTATTTTAAGCAGTATTTTGTACCCTACTCGCCAAATCATCAAGTTAGACATTCTGTTCAGATTTATTTCTCTGTCCCCTCTGCAAAAAAATGGATTGTCAGAAGAGCGTTCATGTTCAAAGCCCCAACAGACTGGAATACTTTACCTGCTGCTATTAGATCTCTTGCATCACTGGGTATGTTTAAACATGCATTATCATCTCACTTTCAACTGGTCTGCACTTGTTATTAATGAAACTGATATTGATGAAACTGATTTGCTCGACTGTCTCTCAAATTGTAATGATTGTATGCATTGCTTGAATTTACTTAACAGACTTTATGTGGTTTGTCTTGTGTGTCATGTTTTGCATTTTGTATTTTTGTTTATGTATGTCTGTAAGTTGTTGCTATTGTCGGGACCCCCTTGAAAACGAGATGGTGCATCTCAAGGGGTTTATCCCAATGAATACATTTCTATATATATAAAAGACTAGAGACTTGTTTTAAAGGTCATAACATGTTACATCACATGCTAAACATGCGCAGATGTACAATAAGGACTGCATTTAATGAGTACATTATATTAAAAATGCTTCATAACCATCTCAAAAGGTCAGGAGGTCTTAAGTTAAAGTTAACAATAACAACAGGGGTCAGGAGGAGACAGAAACAAGGAGATATTTTGGCTGGATTGGATCGACTGAAATGCTCAAAATAATCCGATGAAAGGCAGTTTTCATCGACTAAAACTAGTGTACTACAATAGTTACTGTAATATTGTTATTGACTTAGATGAGTCTAAAAATGCCCAGAAGGACACCAGACTAAGATGAAATAAAGAAATCAGAAAGGAATTTAATACTACTCAAGGTTTAGTTTGTTGCTGTAACAAAAGGAATTCACAACACTGTTTTTTTACTTCCTAAACTTGGATAAATAAAATTACATTTCACTTTCACAGAAATTCACAAAAATAATCCAGTTAAATGTTTTCCTTGTGTCACTCAAGATGAATCATGACTTGAGGTGTGCATGACGTTGCCAGCAGGTGGACGGCGCTCTCTCTCTCTCTCTCTCTGTACCTGTCTGTGTAGAGTCCTTTAGTTATGCCTCCTCCGGGGACGTAGAGGCGAGGCTCCGTGTTGGCGTCCGTCAGACCCGGGTAGGCCGACACTCGCTCCATTTCCCTCCAGCTGAGCTCCTTCAAGGCGTCCTCGCTGTCTTTCAGCAGGGACGGAGTGACCAGGTACCTCAGAGGAATGCTGCATGGACACAGATCTGTTAGTCCAGATGTTAACAGCACAGTGACGCAGCGATGATGTGCAGTGTGTGTTTAGGTACCCTTTCATCTGCTGGTCGTCCCTCTGGTAGGCCTGACTGCTGGACAGGACGACGGCCCTGGAGAACCCACTGGATTTGATCCAAGAGACGAGCAGCTGACGGAACTTTTTGGATTTGGACTGCAATTAAAAACAGGAGTTAAAGTAACAAAAACAATAGAGCAAATTAAACGATCGGTCTGTGGGAACACAAACTACATCATAAGGAAAGATAAAGATGTCATTTATGCTCTCTTAAAACGTATGTTAGTTAAACAACTAGTTCTCCACCTTAAAAAACCCACTTATTTGGTTCATAAGAAAATGAGAATAAACTCATGCTGATGCAACAGACTGGTTTTACCTGGATGATTGGTGCCCGGATTTGAAGAACGGCCAGCTTCAGTTCTGCTGCCGTGTAAACTGTTGATGAGAAACAGGTTGACAGATTATTTGTGTGGTGAAATTTAAAATTATTAAGGTGACATTTGCACATTTACTTAGATGGTACCTTCTGCAGGAGTGTGCAGCTCCTCAGCGTTCTCGTTGGAGGTGGCGTACGGGTTGTTTCCCGTCATGGGGATGAGGCAGTCCGTGTGCATGTAGCCCACTCTGCTCATGTTGAGCGTCGACACGATGAGGTCCACAGACAGCTGGCCCACATTACCAACAGCCACTGCTGGCTGGGGGGGGGGGGGGGATAAGCAACAAATAACAATTACAAACAATTTTAATAATATATTAATTGTTTCAGTCTCTGCTACAATGCTGCTGCCTTCATGGTTCCAGACTCTCATCTGTGAGGATTTGCAGCTTATCCTGTTCTTAAAGAAAAGTGAATTGACTTGTTTTAATGCCTTTAATAAAAACCCTGGGCTCTGGATGACGGGCATTTGGTGCTATTTTCTGACATTATTCAAACCAAGGAATGAATCAAATAATTAACAACAATAATCAGGCGAATCAACTGTTAATTATAATCAATTGCAGCCCTAAATGTATTATGTAAAGGGTAATAAGTAAATGAAAGTTCAAGAGTCATAGCAATCATAAAACGTATCGTTACACTCTAATAGTATAACAGTCACAAACGCATTGAATACTTTTACTTTTGATAATATCACTTTTACTATGCAGGACTTTTATTTGTAAGTGAATAACAATGTGGCATTTATGAAGCTTCTTTGGCTCCAGCAAAATAGTTACATTAGGATAAAAACTTAGCCTAGTGATTACAAATATACTGCAATTCATTACAATTCAAAACGTTTCGCGAAATAATGACTAAGTATTGCAACATAATGAACATAAACAATCGCAAACTTATTTTGAGGAAGGTTTTCCTAATATTGATTATCGTTACATTATATTTTGTATCACCTTTGCGGAAAGGCTCTTTTACTTTTATAAAGGATGGTACTACTTCCTGCAATGATGCTCATCTGTGATTTCAGACTATTTATTTAAACAATAATGACATGTACTTATACTCTGTTCCCATTAGCTCCCATACAGCAAACTAAATGAGACCGTGCTGGTATATTAGTAATAAAACACACTTTATCCAACATTAGCACATTGTTGTGTCGCTCACCATGACGAGGGTGAAATCTTTGAAGCAGGGCGGAGAGTTTTCTGAAGAGATAAACATGATGCCGTTTATCAGAGCTCAAGCGATACTGAGGAACTAGATTAAAATGTTATTATATTATCTAAAAACTACTTTTTCGCAGCAGCTTTCACTTCTATTTTCATTCCTGCCTGTGAGGACCTTCTTGCTCGCCGTCGCTTGCTGATGATTGGGCATTTTTAGTACCCACCGTAAGTGCCTGATTAAAATGTGTCTTTGAAGATCATTTTTGAGTCAAATATTTATTGAAGGTCGCTTCCGACTGTCTCTATCTTTTTTGTTCATCTAGCACGCCCCTTTAGGACTTATATTTGACATATTGTTTCTAATGTAAAAAGGCATATTTACGGTTAACCGCTGCAAAGATTTCGTGCGTAGTAGAGATCTGAAACTCCCGTTGTTAACATCTTAAACATTAACATTTATATACTACAACTTATTTGCTTATTAGAAGAAATTATATTTTAAGCAATGTCAATTTTAAATGTGAAAAAGTCCAAATATATACACACAAATAATTTAGTCAAAACATTCAATTTTTAGATTAAAGTAACCATAAAATAATGTAATGAATTAAATGAAATAAACAATTACGTAACCACCCATGGTTTTCAAATAATGAGACAATAATTATCGCTGCCAATAATAAACAAAAGATGAGTTATCATGATGTATTATTTATTCTATGGTAATTGTAACGGTAGTGTTTCATGATAGGAGTTGTTATTATTTTCTTCAAGTCTTAATAACAGTAACTATGGCAGATAATTACATAGAAAGATCAACAGGTAAGAAATAACTCACTACATAATAAAACACATCTAACCACGTGAAGATGAGGCACTTCATTTCGGTTTGACTTCATTGGGAATAGATTGGCCTTTCAGTACAGCCACAGCATTTTCTACCATCCTCTGCACTATCTTTCTGCTGGTGGAGAGAGTGTCGGTGCCAACGTGGGGGGTGATCAGAACGTTAGGGAGACCCAGCAGAGGATGATCCCTGAAAACAAGATGAAGATGAGGAGATGTTAGGAGCCATCAAGGAGTTTGAGGAGTGTTGGTAAATGTGAAATTCTGCATCTTTTTACTGTTACTAAATAGGGCAAAAAAACAATGACCTTAATCACGCTTAGAAACACTGGGCTGCAGGGTGATACTTCTCTGTATATGATCCATACAAATACTATCTATCGCTAAGGCTACACAGTGTAAAGAAAATATGCAATATGGGATAACACTGTTAAATATCAAGATTTTGATAAATAAAATACTCTGAAATGAAACATGTTTTTAAAAGAAAATCATTTTAAACATTCTGTTATTGAACATATTGAACATTGAGCACAAAAGGCACCAATAAAAAAACATGGTAGTTACTTTTTAAAGTGCAATTTTCTACTGGTAACATCTTTCAATTAGCTCAAAACTCTATTGTGGTCTTTCTTGATGTGTTTATTCCATAATTTGATTTTAGTTAAAATTGTGATGACCCACATTTTTTTATTTTGCAAACCTAAATTAATTTGTTACTGTTTGTATGATGCTGAGGGCCCTGAGTGCATTTTGTGTCAGTACATACTGTGATCTTTTGACAAGGTTAATTTCTATTTGTTTAGAACGACAGTTTGTAACTTTAACTCGGAGTTGACTCAGTAAAGTCAAATCCACAGTCATATTGATACAAAGAAGGACTGTAGTTTCGAAACTCCTTTGTGTACTGTGAACCAAGCAGGAGTATTTTGTACAATTACAACTCAAAGATAATGAATGTAAATTGTGACTCTGGTAGAGGAGTGTGATGAGACCTTGGCAGCGGTTCAGGGTAAGTCACGTCTAACGCCGCCGCAAGAATAGTCTCCGACTGCAGAGCTTTGACCAGAGCGTCCTGATCCACAACCCGACCTGAGGCACAGAGAGTCCACCATTAGTGTTTCAGAGTTCAGTAACATTTGTAACTCTTTAACAAAGACTAGTGATGTCTGGACATCCTCCTGACCTCTGCTGATGTTGACCAGTGTTGCTGTGGGTTTCATGAGGTTCAGCTCTCTGGTGCTGATCAGGCCGGTGGTCTCAGGGCTCAGGTTGACCGCCAGCACCACGAAGTCCGACTCTTTCAGCAGGTCGTCCATTTTCTCACAATAAGTAGCCCCCACCGCCTGCTCTTCCTCAACACTCCTGAACAGAGAAAACATGAAGCACACCATTAACACTGTCTCCCTTCATTCATGGCTTTTAAATATCTGGTTATAGTGGTGAATAAGTAACAAATAACATTAGACAATTATGACCTCCTGGTCCTGTTGTGGTACAGGATCTTCATGTCAAATCCTTTGCCTCTTTGAGCGATTTTGCAGCCAATGTGTCCCATTCCTATAATCCCCATAGTCGACCCTGTGACTTCAACTCCCATCAGGCTTTGTGGTTTATGATTGGTGGTGTTGGGGTCAACAGATATTTGGTGACCTACAGGAAAACAGAACATTACATTAGAAAATCCTCAGTTTGTTTTGTAATAATATCACCCTTTCCACATTTTTGAGACATTTCCCAAACTTGAATTCATCTTGTCTGTCCCACAGCTCATTAGGGCCATTGTAGGTATAATAAACTGTACAGACACAGGGTAATGCTTGGAGGAAAACATTCAAATTGCAAAGATAAAAGTTGTAGATTTACGAGAAAAAAGGTGGCTATTCTCTGAGATGAAAGTGACAATATACTAGAAGAAATCACTTAATAGTGTTTGTTATTTTTTGTCAAGGAACCACATTGCTTCATTTCATAAGATTGGATAAACCCATCACACCATAGTTGCTGACAGTAAACATGGAACAATGGGGATTCTGTCCGTTACGTTGTAGTCCCTGATGCACAAAATCTATCACCTCATCCATATGTTGTTTTGTTGCAGGCCTAATTAAAGACCTTCTGCTTCTCCTAGCATTTTAAGGTTTAGTTTTAGTCAAACATGGTCTGAGAACTATGTAAGTCTTAGCTATTTTATTATATGGACTCAGTTAACCTTTGAACTAGTGATTATTGTACAGCCCTTTTTTTAAAGTAACCATTTATCACTTTGGTCTATATAAATGAAAACTTGACTCACCTTGAACGATCTTGCGTGCCGATGCCAGAAGCAGACCCATGGCCATGTCTGCCGTGGCGTCACTCACCACCCCGGGCGTGTTGGTCACCTTCACCCCCAGACTGTTGATGTACGGCACGTCCAGGTGGTCGATGCCCACTCCTCCGTTAGCAACCACCTTCAGCGAGGGAAGAAACCGGAGAGTCGAAGGATCGGTTGGAGGGATGTTGTCCCACACCAACACGGCCTGGATTTTAGGGCCGTGCAGCTGAGGGTTTTGAAGGAAGTCTTTGTAGCAGAGGATCTGGAAGTGTTGTTTTATTATGGGCGTTAAGTCTTCATATAAACCATGTTCTACCGCCCCTGAGACCAGAGCCCATGGCTTGTCGTCCTCCATTACCTGGAAGGATGAAACCATGGATAAATAAAGAGAATGGAAGAAAACCCAGTTACACATTTTGACAACTCACAAAGAAAAAAGAACCTACTATCTACAGATTGTTAACAGCTTACAGTACATAGTAAAAAATACCCTCCATGTGAAAGACAAATGGGAGTTGGAGATGATTATAAATATTGAGGACAGGGAGGATATCTGTACGAGTAGCCGCAAAGGCACAAGTCATCTATGGAAAGAATTTGATTGTAATGTTTGTTCAGGAAACCATTGATTACAAAAATACAAATAAAAGCAGCCGTCAAATACTGTTGCTTTTTTATTACTGATATTTAATAAACAAATAAGAAGTATTAAAAAAACACAAAAAAGGTGGACAAAGGTGGTATACACGGCCCGTGGTCCCCTGACCCCTGTGTATAACTGTAAGCACTGTTTACACTAAAACACATTAAACACATTTGGGGAAATATATATAGTTTACTTTTTATTGGAAAGTAACAAAAGAAATGTACTCAAGTACTAAAAAGTTACATTTTGACATACACATTATACTACTTTATGAAATTATAGTACTTTGTATTTCACTATATTTGTTTGACAGTTATATTTTACATACATAACATATGATATGATGCAGTGCACTACTATTAAGCTTAACTTAATAACTTATATCAAAATGACATTAACAAATGAAAACGTTTAAATGCTTTTACATACATATACATTAGTATTTCTTTCAGAACTGTTCTCATGTTTGTAAGGTAAATGAAAGTGAAGCAACTAGCCTCACAGTATTGCATTTATAATAACTACACCACATCCGTTTCTTAAGAGGAAGGCCTCTAGTTATTCTACAGATTACTAAACTGTTATCAGATATAAAGGGACACGTCCAAACGTCACATATAATTCATGAGAAAGAAAGTTAGCACTATATAAACATACGTGATTCTATTTCCTGGTTTTCTGATCTTGAACCAGGAAGTACTTCTTAGGACATGTGAAGGATTTCAAAATAAGAGCTTTTTTTTTTTTTACAACACAACCACTAATCCTTGGTTATTCCTTGTCCTACTATTACATTACATTTAGCTGACGCTTTTATCCAAAGCAACTTACAATAAGTAATAAGAAATACTATCTTTAATATTTTCTACTTCATTAGATTAAAATACCACTTACTACCACTACTTGTTGTGGTTATTTTATCTATTAAAGATTATAATCAATTTTGATCAATACAATTAAAAGTTGGTTTAATTGTATTACAATCACAAGTAAGAACTGGTCTAATGCCAGCAATATGCATACACTTATCTTTCTTTTATGACAGTAAGTTTATTTCACTAGACATCAGTTTTAGAATCACCTTTTCAACCTGTTTCTTAGGTCTTTGGGTTCCTCAAGGCAGAAGAAGATGGAAGTAAAGGGTTCAAGTGAACAACGTGCAACATTGGAGGTAGCTTTTTTAATATTTTTTTTGCAGCATGTACAAATGTAACTCTAATTAATTTAAAACAAACTGGTAAGGATCAATTTAAACGTTAAAATCATCATGTTATTTCATTTCCAACATTGGTTTACATAAAAGTGATATTAAGCATGATACTGTAGTTATGTTAATGTAACATTAAAAAGTCTCAATGACATTTACTATGGCAGGTCATTAGAAAGAACAATCGACGGGTTAAAACTAACATATTTACTTCCTCTTGCAATAGTGAAACCCTCCTAACCTCGGACACATGAGTCAAGTATAGTGACTTCATTTAGGTTTGACTTCATTGGGAATAGATTGGCCTTTCAGTACAGCCACAGCATTTTCTACCATCCTCTGCATCATCTTTCTGTTGGTGGAGAGAGTGTCGGTGCCAACGTGGGGGGTGATCAGAACGTTAGGGAGACCCAGCAGAGGATGATCCCTGAAAACAGGATGAAGACAAGGAGTTGTTAGGAGCCAGCAAGGAGTTTACTGTGAACTAAACAAGAGTGTGTTTTGTACAAATATCAAGTCAAAGATAATGAATGTAAATTGTGATTATGGTAGAGGAGTGTGATGAGACCTTGGCAGCGGTTCAGGGTAAGTCACGTCTAACGCAGCCGCAAGAATAGTCTCCGACTGCAGAGCTTTGACCAGAGCGTCATGATCCACAACCCGACCTGAGGCACAAAGAGTGCACCATTAGTGTTTCAGAGTTCAGTAACATTTGTAACTCTTTAACAAAGACTAGTGACGTCTGGAAGTCCTCCTGACCTCTGCTGATGTTGACCAGTGTTGCTGTGGGTTTCATGAGGTTCAGCTCTCTGGTGCTGATCAGGCCGGTGGTCTCAGGGCTCAGGTTGACCGCCAGCACCACGAAGTCCGACTCTTTCAGCAGATCGTCCATTTTCTCACAATAAGTAGCCCCCACCGCCTGCTCTTCCTCAACACTCCTGAACAGAGAAAACATGAAGCACACCATTAACACTGTCTCCTTTCATTCATGGCTTTTAAATATCTGGTTATAGTGGTGAATAAGTAACAAATAACATTAGACAATTATGACCTCCTGGTCCTGTTGTGGTACAGGATCTTCATGTCAAATCCTTTGCCTCTTTGAGCGATTTTGCAGCCAATGTGTCCCATGCCTATAATCCCCATAGTCGACCCTGTGACTTCAACTCCCATCAGGCTTTGTGGTTTATGATTGGTGGTGTTGGGGTCAACAGATATTTGGTGACCTACAGGAAGACAGGACATTACATTAGATGAGATGAAGGTTTTGCATTTTGTTTTTTTTAACCAATGCCACATTGACAATTCTTCTTCAGAATCTGAATAATTTCTTTTGTATAACAGCGCATTATAGGTATAAAAAACATGTATCCTTAAATAGAACCCACATTGTTTCATTGTATACAATTAAATCAACCTCATCACACTACAGTTGACGGCAGTAAACTTAGGACAATGACGTCCGTCCAGTATATTGTTGTCATAACATCCGTCACCCCCAATCCAAATCTGTACGTTGTTTTGTTCTGGACCGGCTTGATTCAAGACCTTCTGCTTTTTAGTCAAACATGATCTCAAAACTATGCAAATCTTATTTATATCATTATAAATAAGCATGCACATAAGACCGGCGCTGCTACCTGCACATTTAAATGTATATATATTTAATCTTTTTCCATATCTGTATGTAGATTCACTTCATCAGGGTTTAACTGATTTAATTGTTGTTATTTCTATTCATACTGTTACTTCATGTTTATTCTAATTTTATTAAATGTTAGTATTACTTTTTATTCTCATGTGTACTATCCGTGTTTCTCTCTTTTGTTGCTGCTATAACATTTGACTTTCCCTACTGGGATCAATAAAGGTCCATCTTATCTTATAAGGCCGCAGTTAACCTTTGACCTTGTACTGGTTTTACAGCCCTTTAGAAAAACTAACCATTTATCACTTTGGTCTATCTAAATGAAAACTTGACTCACCTTGAACGATCTTGCGTGCCGATGCCAGAAGCAGACCCAGGGCCATGTCTGCCGTGGCGTCGCTCACCACCCCGGGCGTGTTGGTCACCTTCACCCCCAGACTGTTGATGTACGGCACGTCCAGGTGGTCGATGCCCACTCCTCCGTTAGCGACCACCTTCAGCGAGGGAAGAGACCGGAGAGTCGAAGGATCGGTTCGGAGGGTTTTGTCCCACACCAACACGGCCTGGATTTTAGGGCCGTGCAGCTGAGGGTTTTGAAGGAAGTCTTTGTAGTAGAGGATCTGGAAGTGTTGTTTTATTATGGGCGTTAAGTCTTCAACGAACCCTTCTTCGCCAAGCTCTGAGGTCAGAGCCCATGGCTTGTCGTCCTCCATTACCTGGTAGGATGAAACCATGGATAAATAAAGAGAACAGAAGGAACTAAATGTACACAGTATGACAACTCGCAAAGTGAAATAAATCAATTACAAGCTGACAAAGTAAAAATGAGGCAGGCTGAGAATAATTCATCAAACTCATGCATTTAGTTAATCAGTGTCCTGGGAGCAGAGCTTCAGTCTCATTAAACGTAATAAGTCCTCACATCTGAGAATGAGTCACCAAACCTACACACAACACCCAGTTTAGTTTGATAAACTTTCACTCATTTATGAAGCAAGGACGAGTTCATGGACAAGACAATGATTCCTGCTGCTCAGGGGGAAAGGAACAGAAACAACATGTATTTTGAGAAAAAACAAATACATTTATTTTTATTTTGAAGTAAATGCTTTTGTTGAATGCACTAATCAATTATTGAACTAAAGATCATACAAGGGGTACAGGGCAAATTCGTCTTAAGTCAGTTTTGTATATCAATGCACCGATTGTTTTCCGATAGTGTAGATATAGAGAAGCATTACATCAAAGTAAAACACAGGGTTATAGATAGACTGAAGCAAGTAACGCAGTATTAATTAACGATCAAGCTCGAGAAACACTCATACATTTATTCATGGGCGTCGCAGCCATTATATGAGGGTGGGACAAGTCCCCCCCACTTTTTCAAGTGATTAGTTTAGACCCCCCCACTTTTACTATGCGGAAAGTCCGTGAATCGGTCTATCCACTCGCCGCACTTTGTAGAGCGCTGTGTCAGTGCTTCACTATCAAATGAAATCCATTCCACTTGCTTATTGAGAGAATGCCCAAATCAATGAAACTCCGTACCATGTTTTCACTGCTACTTTGTACCAAGGCAGATTCTCACATAGCGCGCGCATGTTCAAGGAGTGTTGTCATAGTTGGACAGCTCAGATCTGTTGTATGAAGCGATGCCGGTAGCGGAGGTAAGGCACACACACCAAATGTTCAGGAAATGGTTAATACAGCGAAAATCAAAGCTGACGATCTCTTGGTTTGATATGTTTTCTCCCCCAGACAACATGGACATAAGAACCTTTTTTTCAAAGAAGAGGAAAGTAAGTCATCAGCTGGTAGCAGTTAATCAGTTAACAGTGATGGCGGCGTCTCACT